CTAGTTTGGCTGGCCATCTGACGAAAGGCTCATCTCTTATTTCACTTAGAATTCGGTAGATCGGTTTCTTGAAGACCGTGGTTATGGCAGTGCGGACTCTCAACCATCTTTTATCTTGGTCCTCTCCGTTGTCTCGCCTGCCACGTCCGTTTCTGTTCTGATGATCTACCGCATTGACCTTTGCTGAGGTCTTCTTTTCTGGTACTGTGGTCGTGCCAGATTTTATTTTGGCACGTGCGCCATCTTCTTCTACCCTGATATGCTGATGCACTCTTTTCATCAAGGCTTCCATGGTGAGGGGTGGTGTCATGGTGATTGAGTCCCTTAGTCTATTCCCGACTAGAAGGCCTCTTTTGTACTGTGCAATGGCGAGATTAGTGGGGCAGTCGCCAATCTGGTTGAATGTCTCCCAGTAGCGACTGTTGTAGGACCTTAGCGTCTCTTTTTCACCCATGTCGATGGAGAGTAACTGGTCAATCTCCACCGGGGTTTTAGTGTTTGTTCTGAATCTGGTGACGAATGCCTCTGCCAATTGCGCCCAGGAGGCTATGCTGCCTTCTAGAAGTTTTTCAAACCAAGTCAAGCCTAAATCGCCAAGGCTTAACGGGAAGAGGATGCACATTAGAGCCTCGTTTCGTCGATATACCGCCATAACCTGGCGGAAGTGGCTTAGGTGAATGTAGGGGTCCGTTTTCCCCTCGTACGTAGTGAATTTGGGCTGAAGGAAGCCTGTATGTAGGGGTGCGTTTTCAATTGCCGGAACGAACGGCGAGGTCTGCAGCCTCGCTAATACTTTGTCCGTCGGTTCGTAGGCAGGGCGTGGTAATGGCATTCCAACCTCGACGCTTCCATGCGATCGAGGAGCCAATCGTTGAAGGGCAGAAACTCTGCGAGGGTCGCGCGCCCTGGAGTCCTCCTTCCATCGTGCCTTTTCTTCCAGCAAGATCCGCAAATCGGATGATCTGGGCAACTCCGTCTGTTTGGATGATGTTTGGTGTGAGTGTGAGGGTCGGTAGGTACTTCCCTCTGTGTAAGACCTCAATGATCTCGTTCTCTCAGACCTGGAGTAACGAGTTCTGGAGGTTCTAGATTGAGTATCGCATGTCCTAAGGCTTCTACTCTCTGCTTGTGATGGTGTGGAATGCCTTTCATGGTCTTCTGAGCGGCGAGGGGGCGTCTTGTTTTTGTGCCCCTCTCCTGTCGCCACTCCTTTTCCCTTCATCTAGCGCTTCAAGGCCTCCATGTCCGCTGCCATCTTCCTTATTAATTCGTTTTGCTCCTTCACGCGGTCCTCTAGAACTTGAGGATCAATCCTCTGCCTTTGCCTGTCAGGACTTTGTGAATGAGAGTGACGGGGCTGTGAGTCCGCCTCCCCCTAGTATCTCTCCTGGAGTTATGTCTTTGGGACTCCAAGTCCGCCATGGGAGGAATAGAAGGTAATCCTTCACGCCTTGCACCCCAATCTGGTGTTTGGCCGTCGATGGCGGACTGTGGTAATTCTTCAATGTGCGCCATTGTTCCTAAAGAGGAAAAGCTTGATCAAGAGGTTTTGTCCTATCTGTTTTTCCCACAGACGGCGCCAATTGTACTGGAAAGAAATAAACCTTCTCGTATAATCCTGTTGATCAAGTCTTCGCTCCTCCAAACGTCGTCGCTTTACTCCTTGAAAACACAAACGTGAGCTAGCCGGCGGGTGTATGCCGGAAACCTCTCCGATGCCTAAGTCAGTAAGCTTGACAAATAGACAAAAGCTCTGTGTATTCAGAAAACAAAGTTGTGTTACCTCCCCAAAGGTGATGTTTGTGAGCTTTATAGGTTTTGCGTGGCACAATACTAGTAGGACTTCTACTCCTCCATACAGAGTCCGCCTAGGATTCATACTCCTGAAAGATAATGTTTATCCTTCAACACCCCCCTCACTGCTTAAACCAAGTGAGATGGTTTTTACTATGGCCGAACTCCAGCAGGACCGAGGTAATCATGGCTATGCTGAGCCGTAGAGTAGGCCGAACTATCCTTCGTTTGGTTCTTCCTTTCACTACACCTTATCTCGGTTCTCTCATGTACAAACCATGGTGTGATTAGACCGAGCTACCGAATAGTAAGATTCTGACCGTTCTAACCACAATACGCCATGACCGGGCTAACTCTGAGACCGGACTAATTTTAAAGCGTCTTTAGACCGGACTAACTTCAAGTCTCCTCCGGACCGGACTAGCTTCGGGGCTCTAGGACCGGACTAACTTCAAAGCCTTTTTACTCAGCCCTTCGTATTGTGGCCCATGACGGCCCATTACCCAGCTCGGCCCAATTTTCATATAAATTACCCTCTCAAATATCATATCAAATTCTCATATACTCACGCAATTAATAAAGTCAAAAAAATAAAGTAATAATAATAATAAATAATGACTTAAGAAAAATTAAGATCGTTACAAGTAGTGTACCAAAAAATTATTTATTTATTTATAAATAAATTTGTTCACATTTTAAATAAATAAATAAATATTATTTTTTATCTTTATATTTTTAATTAGATCAATTTAAAATTTTAATTTTATGTCAATTTGGTCCAATTAATTATACCATTATTATTTTTGACGAAAAATGATCGCTGAATTTGTTCAGATTAATTCACCGAGTTGAGCAAATTTATTATTTTGCCTCTAAAAGAATGACATATGTCACTTATATGCATATTGGTCATTAAAAAATGCTAACAATTAGGGCAAATTACACTATTGGTCCCTCTATTGTGGCTATTGTGTTATTTTAGTTTTTGTAATTTCAATTGAATCGATTTTAACCTTGAATTTTTTATTTTGTTTTAAATTGGTCCAATTGATAGTATGTTATATTGAGTTCAATTTATTTTTATATTTATTTTGTGCATTTTAAAAAATTTTGGAAGTATATTGACATTTTTTTTTTCCTTCAAAAAATGACATTAGATAGCTTGAAATTTTTTTGATTTAGTGACATTTCTTAAAATGCTATAAAATATTTGTTTATGACACTTTTCACTTAATGCCGTAAAGTAACTTGCATCTATCTAGTTTAGTGACTTTTTAAAAAAATGCAATTACTACTAAAGTTCAGTAGCACCTTTTGATAAATGTCATTAAAACAATTTCTTGTATCATTCTTTTATAAAATGCCATAAAGTTGATGCTATTAAATCACATTTTTATTGTAGTGAAGTGGCACTTTTTTTATTGAAATGCCACTAGAGCCTTGTAAGTTTGTGGCTCTGTGACATGCCACCAAATATTTTTTTTGTGACATTTTTTAAAAATATGCCACTAGTATAGTGTCACTAAAATGTGTTTTTGTTGTAGTGAGTTAGGAGTGTGCGCAGTGCGGTTCGGGCGATTTGAAAGTAAAATTACAAATCAAATGCCGGTTAGTGAATTAGCAGAATGACAAATTGCAGTTTGGGCAGTTTTTGACAGATTGGCGAATTGAAGAATATTCTAACTAATTATCATACATTTGCATAATATATAACATTAATTTGTATAATACTTTTTAAATATATAACACAAAATAATTTTACATAATATGTTTCATATATATAACCACTAATTTGTAATAAATTTCATATCTTAAACCTCTCTCACACTCATTTTTACATTCATATTTCATTGGAAGTTAAAAAATATATATGTATTAACTATAGCGGAATGAAGCTGTTCGATTGGCAAATTATAAATTTTAAAGTTTAAATCGCGATTAGCGGTTAGAGTGGTCCGAATTGATGCAGATTGGTGTAGTTTTAGCGGATTGTGCGATATTTTGCATAATCCTAGCAGCATTAAAGAAAACAGAAATGTGCTTTATAAATCATAGCAAATAAGGAAATGTTTTTTTATTTAAATGATGTTGTGTGTACATTATTGGAGAATCAAACATTGGTACAACCATTTTTCTTGACGGAGCAGATGAAAGTGCTCATTCTATCTCACACATAAATTAGAAACATTTACAATTTACCCATGAAAGAGTAATGGGAGCATCCGAAAGCTTGCTTTCCTCAACCTGTACCTGCCTCAATTGTCGACAATTCAGAAGACATAACTCAACAGCCTCAGTGTTAATTCCACAGCAATGCATTATATGGACAATCTCCAAATGCTTATAGCTTTTGAACATCAAAACTATGGCTACGTTTGTCAATCCTTTACAGCCCCTCAACTGATGTGAGCTCCTTATTGACTAAGTTTTCATTATAAGACAAGTCCAACTTCCTCAAATGTCTCAAATTCTGTCCTAAAGTGGTTAGCAACCCAGGTTCTATATAGACCGCATCATAATTTATCGAACTCAATTCTTCAAGTCCATCACTTATAACTATCCAAGTTCGCTCTAGGATTATGAGCTTGAACTATAAACAAAGCAAGGAAAAAGGAGAAAAGATAACAAAAACAGAACCAGAGGAATCGCAAATTCATGCTGGCACATAACTAAAACGTGAAATATTAGCCCAAAAAAATATATCTCATTGATATTAACATCTCTCTTAGATGTTGAAAATAGTGTACCATTTTGAAGTTCCAATTTATTCAATTGGTGGTATCTTGATGATGTTTCAAGATACAAGTATGACTATTTAGCTAAGAAGTACGGACACTTCTAAGAAGGTGATGTATCCGTGTCGTGTCCATGTCGGACACCGACACTCTTTGGACACTTCTCCAACAGATGTCTAATAAAAATGTTGCTGAAATAGAAAAAGTACTCACGTGATTATCCACTTTCAAGTCAAGAGAACATTTACAGAGTATTATATACATAGGCACATCATAAAAGCTTAATATGCACTCACGCAAACACAAATGCATATATGATTAATGATTCAGTAAGCAAATGTGGTGTATGGGCACATCACACAAATTTAACCTTACAACTTCAGAGGAGCAATGTAACCATACAAGACTATAACATAACTATTCATATTGGTCTTTGATACCAATGGCATGATCCAAATGCATACCAGATTGATATGACTATGACATGAATAATGTGTTTAAGCTATACATCAGATAAAATTATGCAATGCAGTTATAACTCACAAAAAGTGAAAAAATCATAAATCATACAGCAGAAAAAGCACATACATGCTGGTACCTATAGGTTTCAAATTGTTTGTCTCCTTTACAAATTTATTTGCCTCTGAAACATCCTGAGAGATAAGCATGGGATGGGCAAAACCTGTGATAGGTGAGTTTTAGCAGAAAATGAAAACGTAAAGTCAGTAGGCACACTAGATCAAATGATCTATGAAAGTAGACAATGCTTGATGCATGAGTTCATAGTAAAGTAAATGAGAGCTATGAAAAGGCTTAAAAGTATCGATTTAAGATTTTTCACCACTTCAGACACAAGTAAACAAAATTAATAGCAAGATTTGTTTATTTGAAAAACTATACCAATATCATGTTTCAAAAAATTGATTAATTTTCACTAATAGCTATTCGTTTTTTTCTCATTTTCCTAACTCAACTAAGCCCCACAAAAAAAAAGGGCATTTAGTTTCTTCCCCTTCATTTTCTTTTCCTTTTCATTTCCATTCACAAATCCAAGGACCCAAATCAGATAAATAGCATAAAGAAACCACAACAAAATTCAGCATGAATCCAATACTAAAAAGAGTTATATTTCAACTACTTCTGAAAGCTACATTTTCCCCTCCATTGATGGACCACTGGACTTTTGTTTTTAAAGTGATAGGACAAAAGGTTACCACATTAATTGGATCAAAATTCTATACAGAATTTTTGTTTGTATAGCACTACTCATGTAAGCACCATAGAACTCAAAACAGGTATGATATACTGAATAAATCTAAAAATATGAACGGTTCGGATTATCAAAATTGTGCCTCAAAGTGGACCCGAAGGCCCCTGCAAGGAGAGAATGAAGGAGGGGGCTCAAGGGGAGGATCCCAATTCTCTTAGAATACCACTTAAACTACTGATACATAAGCAGAATTTGTGTGTTCCTACTTGGCTTCCTTGAAGATGTTTACTCTCAGTCTAATTCTAATTACAACAATAAAAAGAAGAGCAAAACTAGATTCACCTTGCAATAAAAAAACCCAAATTCTGAATGTAGGAAAAGGAAGCATCAGTATCAGTCACATCTTCCATTGTTTTTGACTAGGTTAGAATGAACTGGCAGTGTCGAAAACCTGCCAAAGACACATATCAATCATTAACACAAACTAATGTCCATTGATCTGTTTGGTTGCTAAGAATATCCTAGTGAAAGATCATAGCATATGCAAAATCTTATTTCCCTATTTGTATTCTGTTCGTTTCTTGATTTTTATTTTCATTTTTTGTATAACACAAAATTGTTTGATGAACTGTTTTTGAAAACGACAGTAAAATAAAATTAATGTGTTGCTGATCTTTTCATTGTTTTTGTTTCCAAAAACATTAAAAATAAAACTTGTGGCCTATTTGGTATCAATTCTATTTTCTTTTTTCATTTTTTGGAAAACACAAACTTGTTTGCCGAGCTGTTTCTGAAAGCTATATTGGAGAAAATTTTCTTAAAAAACTCAAAAAAATTGTTTTCCAGCACAAAAGTGAAAAACAAAACACAAAGAAAACAAAATTGAAAACAGAACTCACCAAACACTTGTAGCCATTTTATTTAATTGAGTTTTCTATCTAACAACTTAAGCTAAAGCATCCAAAATTAGCAAGAACACAAGAGAAAATCTGAACCACCAAAACAATTCAATCAACAAATTTTATAGCATTTAAGAAGATTGTGACAAAAGTATCCGAATGAGAGAAAAAATAGAGAGCTTACTTGGGTCAGCATTGATGAGCATTACAGTGTTGTGTTATGTCTCTGCAATGTGTGAGGGAGGAGCTGCCGATCGAGTTTCTGTGGATGATGGATCTCAGGCGACGATGACCAACAAAGAGGTGAATCGGTGCTCCGCTTGCCCACGAACGCGAGGAGGAGTAGCGGAGGAGAGCTGTTTCGTGGCTAGTGGAGTGGCGGTGAAAGAGGGGAGGGGAGAGAAACATCGGAGACAGAGGGGAGAGGGAGAGGGAGGGGAGAGGAGCAGCGGAGAGGGAGAGAGACGCTGAAAGAGGCGCTGGTTTGTTTAGGGTTTGGTTTGGAAACAAAACATATATATGGTTTATTTTACACAATTCGCGACTAAACATTTTAGTCGCCAATTAATTTTATAAATCCCTTCAAAATCTGTCCAAATATTCTAGTTCTTTGGCGAATAAAAATGTTTTAGTTGCTGAAAATAAATTTTTGGCGATCAAATTTTTATTTTTTATTTGATGACTAAATAATTTTATTAACCAAAACTAACTATACAGTGACTAAAATATTTTTTAACCGCTGAAAATAAATTTTTGGCAACTAAGGACTTGTTTGGAATGTCCTAAATAAGTGCACTTTTTGACTTTTTGGACTAAAAAGTTGAGGAAAAAAATATGATTGTTTGGGTTAACTTTTTAACTTTTTATGAAAAAATGTGTATTAAAAAATTGTATAAATTAGTGTGTAAGAAAACATTAGAATTGGGAGTTGTACAACCGTACTTTTTGAATTTTGGTGAATAGTGATAACTTTTTAACTTTTTGAGTAACTTTTTGGCGTTTTGACTTTTTTGCTTCATGTCAAACTTGGCCTAAATTTTAGTCGCTGTAAATAAATTTTTGGCGATCAAACTTTTGGTTGCCAAAAGATATAAAATAAATTTTTGTTTTCCATTCGGCGACTAAATAATTTTAGTAACCAAAACTAACTATACAGTAACTAAAATATTTTTTAGTCGTTGAAAATAAATTTTTGACTGCCAAACTTTTGGTCGTCAAAGATAAAAAAGTAAATTTTTATTTTCCATTCGGTGGCTGAATAATTTTAGTAGTCAAAAGTAACTATACAGCGACTTAAATATTTTTTTATTCGCCAATTGTGATATTTTTAGCGACTAATTTTTTTTTTAGTCTCCAATAATCAAATACCCTAACTAAAAAAAAACAATTAATAGATAAATATTATAATTTTGCCGACTAATATAGTTTTTGATCGACAATTTCACAATCTTTGACGGTCAAATTTTTTTTAGTCACTAAAAATATAATTTATTATAGTGATTGGCCTTCTTTGGTTGTGCCAATATTTGAATTGAAGAATGGAAAAGGACAAAGGATGGAAAGGTATTCAGTGGCATTCCTATGTACAGATGTTATACCCAAGTTTGGAGCAGAGCAATCACAGAGCTTTTGGTGGTGAATGATCCTCCAGTTGAAATTCGGAACTTGTTGGTAGTCGATATGTTAGGCCTTTCTAGGAAAAGAGTGTAGGCTTTTGTTGTTTATTTTTCTTCCAATGTATCCAAAAAAAAATAGAAAAAACACCTATGATTGATCTTCTACAACTTGTGTGAATGGCCACTTTTTGATGTTATTGTTTTCTCATGTGGGGCAATCCATGCGGTCATTTACGAAAAAAATTATCGGTGATTTAATGCTAAGGGTAGTTGATATTCTAACAATATTATGATTGGTCGATGGTTTCACAATTTAATAATAATATTGCAGAGGGATAATCAATGAAAATTGTGTCAAAAAAAAGTGCATTAAAGATTAAAAAAATTCAAAAGGCAAATGAGCGTAATTTTGTGAAGTTTTTTTTTAAAAATATATATATATATATATATATATTTTAAGTATTTCAATTGAGTATGATCTAAAAGTGCTATTTTTTTAATTTTTTTAAAAACACTTATTAAAAAAAATAAAAATAAAGACCTAAATCTCAAATATACTCATAGGATATGTTTGATTGGACGGACTAAATAAAGGGAGATTAGAATCTATCAGACTTGAATCCTGGGATTGTGAATCCCCCGGACTATTTGGTTGGATTGGATGTATCCTGTGTTTGTTTTTTCATATGATTAGATGTCTAGAAATGACTATTTTTAGTGAATTCAATTTTTGGTTAGACGGGCTGGATAGGATAAATGAACAAAAGACTATTTTACCATTTTTCAATTGTTTACTAAGTAATAGCAATATTAAACATATCTTTAATATTTTAATTATTTTTAGCTAGATTAAATAAAATTTTATTTTATTTTATTTTTTACACAATTCAATAAATTTATTTTAAAAAAATTAAATAAATAAAATATCAATAAAAATATATGCTATTTTTTAATTAAAATTTTAAATAAATTTATTTTTAAAAATAATAATAATTAAACAATGAAATTAAATAAAACATCTATTAAAATTTAAATAATGAAATTAAATAAAATATAAACAAAATTTTAAAATAAAACATCAATAAAATATCTATAAAAAAAATTAAATTTTATTAAATTTTACTAAATATAATACATAATTAAATAGTAGAGGGTCAAAATGGTCATTTTATATTCTAATCCCAACAGTAAATAGTCCAATGAAAATTATCCCATACCCCCCTAGGATAGTATAATCCCCCATATGGGGGATAAGGAGTCTGGCGGACTAAAAAAAAATAAACGCCGAATAAAAAGCTTCCCTCGGATTACAATCCCAACAATAAATAGTCCACCCTTATCTCTTCAATCAAACACACCCATAGAGATTATTTAAATACTCGTAAAGATAATTCAAATATATTAAAAATGTGTGATATAAATGCTCAAATTAAATTAGTTGCTTATTTTATATAATAATGATAGAGATTTAAATCTCACAATTTAGTCATAATAACCAAACCAAACCAAACTAAAATCTTAAATTCTATCAAATAGGGTCGACTGCATGAATCCTTCTTCTCCATTCGACTTTATCTGTGGCCATTTCGTTAGTCAAATTAAGAAGATTTATATCTCTATTTACTACACTAGTCCATGTCAATTTAGATCTACTCCTTCCCCTAACAATACCATTTACCATCACTGTATCGCATTTCTTCAATATTTTATCTGTTAGTCTCCATTGTATATGATCAAACCATCTCAATTTATTTTCTGTCAACTTATTTTCTATTGGTACTACTCCTACCCATTCTCGAATATACTCATTCCTTACTCTGTCTTTTCTAGTCTTGTCACATATTTACCTTAGCATTCTCATCTCAACACTCATCTTCTCTACATATTGTTTATGAGTTCTCTACATGTTGTTTATGAGTTCCTAAAATTACATTCCATATACTCTGTTTTAGTTATGTTTATCCTAAATCTTTTAGATTCAAACGTTTTTCTCCAAATCTCCAACTTAGTGTTAACTATTCTCTAGTCTCATCCACTAACACGATATTGTCTACAAAAAGTATATACCATGGCACATCATCCTGAATATTGCGCATCAACTCATCTATAACTAAAGCAAAAAAATAAAGATTTAAGGTTAATCCTTGGTGTAACCCTACAGAAATTTAAAATTCACTCGTCTCTCTAGCAGATAATCTAATAGTGGTCACAACACCTTCATACATATTCCTAATCACATCAATATAATCTTTTGCCACCCCTTTCTTCTCTAACATTCATCAGATTATATCCCGAGGCACTCTATCATATGCTTTCTCAAGATCGATAAAAATTATATAAATGTCTCTTTTCTTTTTTTTATATTTTTTTGTTACTCTCCTCAAAAGATAGATCACTTTCTATTATTGACCTACTAGGCATAAACCCAAATTGATTCTCTGACACCTCTGTTATATCTCGCAATTGACGTTCCATCAGTCTCTCTCACACTTTCATTGTGTGATACATTAGCTTAATCTCTCTATAGTTGTTACAATTTTGGACATCTCATTTTATGGCACTAAAATACTCTTCATACATTCCTTTAGCATTTTCCTAGTCAACAAAATCTTACTAAATAACCTAGTCAACCAAAAAATCCCTTCTTACCTAAACATTTTCATGCTTCAATGTGTATATCATTCGGTCCTAAAGTCTTATTCAATTTCATCTTTTTAAGTGCAAACTCCACTGCAAAGTCCCTAATCCTACGATAGAACCTATAGTCCCGGTTTTCTTTATTACTGCCTACTTTCTTTCCTTTTGACATTCCTTCATGTTTCTCATTTAACAACTTCTCAAAATAATTATTCCACATCTCCTTAATTTTTTCGTCATTCACCAACACCTTAAAGTCCTCACCCTTTATGCATTTAACCTAATTAAAATCTTTTGTTTTCCTCTCTCTCTTATCTTAACAAGTTTGTATATCCTCTTCTTTCTCTCCTTACTTTCTAGTCTAGTGTATATGTCATCATAGGCTTTCAACTTAGTCTCCCTCACTATTTTTTTGACCTCCTTATTAGCCAATCTGTAGCGCTTAAGATTTTTCTCAATTCTATCATTCTGTCACTTTTTAAAGCTCTATTTTTTCGTCTTTATTACCGCTTGGATCTCCTCTCTCCACCACTAAGTTTCCTTAAAGTTGGGTTCCTTTCCTTTCGACTCTCCAAGAACTTCCCTTGAGATTCTCCTCATACAATTGGATACATAGTGTTAGTATCATCTTCCAAGTTTCAAGTATCTTCTTTATTCATTCTATTATTAAATGTGTCTAGTTTATCCCTTTTAGATCCCACCATCTAGTCCTGCGACGCTCACTTTTTTTTTCCCGAGTTTGGTATTGTCCTTTAAAACTTAAATCTAGTACCAAAATCCTATGTTGAGACGTCAAACTCTCTCTAGGAATCACCTTACAGTCGCTGTATTTTAGACGGTCTCATTTTCTTATTAGAAAATAATATATTTGGCTCATAATTGACTTACTCTTGAAGGCTATCAAATGTTCATCTCTCTTCTTATACATAGCATTGACCACTATTAGGTCAAAAGTTAACACAAAATCTAAAATACTCTCTCCAGTCTCATTTCTATTACCAAAATCATATTTATCATGCATCCTCTCATACCCTAGTTTATCTACTCCTATATAGCCATTGAAATCACCCCGTATAACTAGGTTTTCTCCTATGAGAGTATCTCGTAATACCTCATCCATTTGGTCTCAAAAAACTCTCTTAATCTGATCATCTAATTCTACATGATAATAAAATTAAGCCTTAAAATTTATAAAATTAAAATTTCACTTATAGTTTATCATATAATTATAAATATAATTGCAACTTTTAAAAGCGAAGTTGCTATTTTGTTCCTTGTATAATAAATTAGATAGAGAAAATAAATAAATAGATATTTTTAGGAGAGAATATAAAACATACGGATTATAAAGAATAAATTTAATGTGAATTTTTAATTCTGATATGAATGGCCTATTTTTATCAAATTAAAAAAAAAAATTAATCAAAATCTATATAAATTGACGCATTAAAAAAAAATAGTACAAGAATGAAACATTGCCTCAAATGCATCAAACCTATCGTCGTCGAGAAAGGCGATAGGGTAGACGATAGAAAGGCAAAGCACGTTCATCACATTTTTGCATGACTTTTAAAAGGTGGTACTCTTTCCGCTTCAAAAGATTAATTTTTTATTTTATTTTTCATTATTTCAAAATATTAATTCATTTTAAAAAATTAAAGTATAAAAATAATATAAATTTCTTATTTTGTCATTCTTTTAAATTTATAAACAATATAAAAAATATAATTATGATATTAATATTTCCTAAAAAATGTACTATCAAAAGGTAATTTTAAAAAATTAACTTTTTTTTTAAGTACAATAATTGCACTATTAAAAAAAATTAGATTCCCCGAAAGTATCATTATTTTGGGACGGAAGAAGTAAGAGCATCTCCAATGGTAATCTCTTTGAGCTGCCATTACAAAAATTTGACGAGAATTCTAAAAAATATTGCTCCAATGGGTTGCTATAACCCTTGCCAAATTTGGCAAATGCCATTTCATCTCTCAAATTTGGCAACAAGTTTGGCAATTGCCAAACTTGCCACATTATCCAAATAAACAGAATTTGGCTCCAAAATTTTCATGGAAGAAATAAACACAGTGGAACAATAATATATCAGAGATGGAACAATAATATAAAAAAATAAATAAACACAGTGGAACAAAAAATATTTAATTTTTCATTTTTTTTTTCATTTTTTATATTTACCTAGCCGGGGATAATGAAAAAATATATATAAAAAAAAATTACAAATAGTTAAAAAAATGTCACAAAAAAAAAATCACTAAAAAATTTATATCCAAACAATACCTATAAATTTGAAGAGAAAGATAGTTGAGATTTGCCTAAATAGCATGTCTACCATTGGAGTACCGAAGCACCATTGTTATAATTTGACAAATTACTACTCTTCATTACTAAATTACTAGCCTATCACCCGTGCTATGCACGGGATAATTATAAATATTTATATTTGTTATTAATTTTTTTAATATATAAATTATATTTGTAAAGATTTTTTATAAAAATAATTTAACAATCTTATCACTAACCATAGTGTATATGAGAAATTAAAAAGGCTAATGCAGTAATTATACACGGGCTGTATCTATAATTATTTGTATGAGGGGATTTCAAGGGATTTTGATCAAATTAATAAATGCAAACATGTGGAAAGACATGTAGATTGAAAAAAGTTAATAAATGTTAATCAGGAAATTTTGACAAAATCAATAAATGTTGAGTTCTTTTTTTTAAATAATTTTTTTTTTAAAAACGCTACTACAGTAACTATGCACGTGCTGTATCTATAATTATTTGTATGAGGGGATTTTAAATACTGATAAGGGATTTTGATCAAATCAATAAATGCAGACATGTGAAAAGACATGTAGATTAAAAAAAGTTAATAAATGCTGATCAGAGGATTATGACCAAATCAATAAATGCTGAGATTTTTTTTAAATAAAAAATAAAAAATTTAGAAAATTCAGATTAGGATATTGAAACTCTCACAGGCCTTGGGGGTTAAAAACCCCATTTTGCTTAATATATAGTATAGATAATATATAATATATATATACATATATAGATTATAAGATGAGAGAAATAAAGTGTCATCTTATTATAATGGAGGAGATCTTATAAAAAAAACGTGTAGACATTAATGCATTAAAGTTTAATATTTTGATAATAATCATATGTGTTGGATTTTTCAAGAAATTTTTTTTATACTTGTTCTTAATTCATTAAAGTGTTATTATGAGGGAGAATAATCATATGTGTTGGGACTTTTTAAGAAATTCATATGTGTTGGATTTCAAAGAATTTTTATTATGCTTGTTTTTAATGCATTAAAGTATTATTATGAGGGTAAAACTTGAGAGTTGGGAGATGTTAATAAATGCTACAAGATTTTTTTTTTAAAATAAAAAAATCAAGAAATTTAGATTCGGAGATTGGAGTTCCCACAAAGTTTGGGGTTAAAAACTCCATTTTGCTTAATATATAGTATAGATAGCCTATCACCCGTGTTGTGCATAGAATAATTATAGATATTTGTATTTATTTTAGATTTTTTAATGTATAAATTATGTTTTTTAAGATTTTTTATAAAAATAATTTAACAATTTTATCCCTAACCATAGTGTATGAGAGAAGTTGAAATAGGTACTACAATAACTATGCATAAATTGTATCTATAGTTATTTGTATGAGGAGATTTTAAATGCTGATTAGAGAATTTTGACCAAATCAATAAATGTAAACATGTGAAAAGACATGTGGATTGGAAAAAGTTTATAAATACTGATCAGAAAATTTTGACCAAATCAATAAATGTTAAGTTTCTTTTTTTTTAATTAAAACATCAAGAAATTAGAATTGATATATTAAAACTCCCACAAAATTTAGAGTTAAATTTTTTTTTTTACTTAATATATAATATAGATATAGATAACAATAGTATATTATAGCAAATATCATTAAAGATGGTCCGACAGAATCAGAAGGAAATAAAAAAATAAAAAGATAAAAGAAAAATATTTGAGGATCACAATTTTTATGGCTATAATGGCTTAAAACTGTCAAAACGACATCATTCGTTGAACATAAAAAGATGTATCTTTGATTCTCTATCAACAAATCAACCCTATCTCGCTTCAATTCTTCTTCTTCTTCTTCCCAACCAAACCCTAATTCCGAATCAAATTACATATTCGACATTTGGCTCTCAGAAGCTCTACATTTTTGCCATGCGACCCGGGTTCTCTGCGATTTCCCTCTCTCGAGGGGACTCATCTTCCTTCAATTCCAATCAAATCTTCGAAGCCGATTCTGATAGATTCAGCAATGGCCGCCGATTCTCATGTCCGTAGCTCCAAATGCCTCGTCTGCAATGCCGCCGCCGGTGCCGCCGCCGGTACGTTATCATCAATCTCTCTTTGTTTGGTTTCCCAGATTTTCATAATCTTGATTGTGTTTGATTGATTGAATTTGGGAAATTGGGTGTGCAGGAGTTATTGCAGCAACGTTTGTGTGTCCTTTGGACGTTATCAAGACTAGGTTTCAAGTTCACGGGCTATCAGCGCTCAGTAGTAGTAGTGGAAATATTAAAGGTACAAACTTGGCTATTATATATATACACATTGCAAATGCTAACAAGAACAAGTGTCGTGGTATTGGTTAATGTTGGGAAGTATGTAAAAAAGTTTATTGAAAATATATAAAAAATGTTAAAAAGTATATTGATTTTAGTAAAAATTTATTGAATTCCCGTTTGGGGACTTACTTTTTTAGTTAATTAGTCAAAAGTTATTAAATTAGCTAAAAAGCCAACAACTCATATCAAAAAGTCAAATATTTTCTTTTCTCTTTACTTTTTGCACATCTTTTCGTAATTAGCTAAAAAGTTGTCCCAAACATACAAGTTTTTTTTACCTACCTTTTTGGCCAAATAATCAAAAAGTTACTAAATTAGTCTGTTCCCAAACGAGGCCTCAGTAAAAAAATGTATTATCTTCTTCAAATTTTGTGTCTTTTACTTATACTCTTGGCGCCCTTGTTAGCAATACCCTCTCTCTCTCTCTATATATATATGGGTTTTGTTATTTTGCTGACGAAATTCAATTTGGACTAATTCATTGCATTAATGGTTATAATTAGTAGCTTAGTTTTATAATTTATGGGCAGACCACCCATCAGAACCCCCCAAAAGTGGTGTGTTTATATGATTTCCGAAGTTGAGGGAGTCTTAGTGTATTTAACCCTTAATTATTTTAATTACAGGCAGATTCACCAGAGCAGGTTAAGAGTTTATTTTTTATTTTTTTACAAGTTCAAGGTGAAATTTATTGCCGCAGTGCAGGCTATGTTGGGCATTTGCAAAGAATGTAGCAGAAGGGTAATATTCTTCTTCACTTGACCAGGTGGCGTTATAGTTGGGAGTTTGGAACAAATATTTCAAAAGGAGGGGTTGCGTGGCATGTACCGTGGTCTCTCACCAACTGTTCTGGCACTACTTTCAAACTGGGCGGTGAGTTATGTTCCTGATATGTTCTTACATTTTGTCCATGGTTGGTGTTAAGTGCATTTTAGCTGGTCAGTTGTTCAATCAGTTTATTGTGAAGCAGTGATATGCTTATTTTCTTCCAGAGATAGTCTTTGATAATTTGTTTTTCATTTTTTAACAAAACAAACAGACTTAAAGACATTAAGCAATAATTAATGATTGGAGAAATATATTTATGTGCTTGAGATTTTATTATAGCTCTTTTTGGGGGAAAAAGTCCCCTCACTTGCTAAAAGTGTTAAGGATTGAGCATTTGGAACCATATGAAAATGTAAACCCTGTTTAGTTTAGTTTCTTTTAAAGATTTTTTTAGTGCTGCTAAACCTACTTCCTTTTCCTTCCAAGTGTGTATTTATGATGCTTCGGTGCTTCATCTAGAGCTGAAGTTTTATGGAGGAGAAGTGTTACATGGGGAAGAAAACCTGCAATATTTGTTTTAGCTTTGTGTTCTATAATTTGTTTTGGAGATATTGCAAATGTGGTCTTTTTACTTAGAATGCAGAATCTAAAAGGCCATAGGTTTGGTCATCAATTTTAGACTTGGTGGTTTTCCAAAACTTTTTGCTTTACTATATATGGTTTTTTCGTAGCTTTTTGAGAGAGTGGTTTGACTTCAATTTTCTTTTCAATGACCCAATATTGTTATTTCTGCAGATTTATTTTACAATTTATGAGCAGTTCAAAAGCTTTCTTTGCTCGGATGGTTAGTTCATGACCAATTTGTTTTGTTGAAAATATAAATGATTATTTTTGTTCCATTATTTCTTGATTAAACCGTATAAACTGTTTGTTTAATGATTTTGATAAGCTTGTGTTGAAGGCATTCTCAATGTAATTTTGGCTGACGTGCATGTGCAGATGGGAATCATAACCTTTCAATAGGTGCTAATATGGTAGCAGCTTCTGGTGCTGGAGCTGCAACAACTATTGCAACTAATCCCCTTTGGGTTGTGAAGACAAGACTTCAGGCGTGTCTCTGAGGCTTTTCTTATTCTTCCATTTTCTTTTTCTATTTTTGTTCTTTAGGGTTGGGGGCAGGCGTTTTGTGTGTCCTATGGATTGGCATGCCTGATCTATGGTATTATATGAATCCAGAAGCCTTTTTGGTCTGAGTTGGTGTTTGTCTGCATCATGATCAAGAAAAATTCTTCTTACCCTTCAATTGAATTATGAAAGGAAGAATGAAAGTGAAAGAGAGGCTAGCAAAAGGACATCAAGAACTTAATGAGACCCACCCCCCCATCCCAAAAGCATAATATTAAAAAGCCCTGGCTACTATTTTACAGAATATTTGCATCTAATGCCTTCTAAGCTCAGCATCTCTTATTCGGAGAAGCTAGTGGTAATGTATTGAGATGACATGATGGTCTATTTTCTGTAATGGTCGGGTGAAAGGTATATATATATTATTGTAGTAATTAGCTATGAAGCATGGACACGGCAAAATGGAAGCCGTGGCGGTGTCGGACACGGGGACACGCCGGGGACACACCGGGGACACGTACAGGACACGGCATCTAGCGTGTCCCCTTAATTTAATTTATTTTTTTGCAGGGGACACGCGTGTCCAAATCTGGACACGCCATGGACACGGCGAGAAGAGTAAATGAAAGGGAAAACGAGTACAAACCTGATCGGCGACGATCCAGAGCCCTTCGACTTCGATCGACGATCCAGAGCCCCATTCAACTTCGACGATCCAGCCCCTTCGACTTCAACGAGCTCTCTCTCGCCTTTGCCTTCGTAGAGCTCTCTTTCTCTCTCTCTCTCTCTCGCCTTCTCTCTCTCCCTCGCGATCGAGATCGCGATCGCGATCGTCTCCCTTGCTTCTGTCTCCCTCTCTCTCGGTTCTCTCCCGTCTGCCTTCTTGTCTTGATATTATAACTATTATTATTATTATATATTCATATATAATATATATAACTAATAACTATTATTATTTTATTATATATTATATTATAGTTATTATATGACATAAATATACTTGTTAGATAATGGATAATACATATTATAAGATAATATATACTTATACATATTAATAAATAAAAAAATAAACACATGTATGTAAAATAAAATAAAATAATTAATTACAACACATTATTTAAAAATATAATAAATAAATAAAATAATTAATATGTATTAAAATAAAAATATTTATAAAAAAATTAAAAAATTTGTCGTGTCCCCTGCCGTGTCCGTGTCTCTATTTTTTAAAAATGGCCGTGTCCCATGTCCGTGTCCGTGTCCGTATGCGTGTCCGTGTCCGTGCTTCATAGGTAATTAGTGCAGTAACTATATTAATTATATGGTATAATTGACATTTCATATTATCTGTTAAATTACTAGGTTGCTCTTTCTCCTATAATGCACTCAGGTTTAATTTGTGAATATGCGATAGATTTTACCTCTTCGTATATTTTCTGCAGACTCAAGGAATTAGGGTAGGTGCAGTGCCATACAGGAGAACACTGTCTGCTTTAAGGAGAATTGCTCATGAAGAGGGTATTCGTGGATTGTACAGGTTCTGGTCATGAGCACTAGTTGATATCTCTCTAGTGAATGCATCTTTAATTGTGTGTTAAATTCTAACAGCGTCTGATTGTGTTGTGGACAGTGGTCTTGTGCCTGCATTAGCTGGTGTTAGTCATGTTGCCATTCAGTTCCCAACATATGAGAAAATTAAATCCTATTTGGCCGATCGAGGTAGTTGTTCCCTCGTATTGTTCTTTCATGAAATTCTTTTTTGTCCAAAACAAAAAAAAAAATTATTGATTTGTTTTGATGATATTAGGTAACACTACAATGGATAAACTCAATGCACGTGATGTTGCTGTTGCCTCCTCTGTTTCCAAAATATTTGCTTCTACATTGACATATCCACACGGGGTATGATATCAACTAAGGGGCTGTTTGGTGTAGCTTCTAGCTCTCTTTTTTTTTAATTATTATTTTAGAAATATGTATCATAGCATTTGGTACAGCTTCTGATTATAGCTTTTGAGGAAAAAATAGTTTAAATAAATTGAAAAAAAAACTGATTATTGGATTGAGAGGGAGATGTGCTTTTAGTCTATATTACCTGGAACGTGGATTGTTCCGGTACACGGAACGGGAACGTGGTACGCCACATGCTCTAAAGTGTGGTACGATAGAGGTAAATTTGTATATATTATCCTCGCAAATTTAAGGTACTTTTAAAGTAATTTTCTCTTTGACTATTAAGCATTTAATAAAATTTAGTTTTTGTTCTTCATGTAGCAAAATATTTCTTTGTGTACTATGACCCATTTTCTAAGTTTTGTTTTGTCAAAACTTGACTTCCTTAGATTTTAATTCATTATATTTGATTTTTCCTCCTAAGGAAACATTTAAGGATATTTATTGAAAAACCTTTTGGAATCGTTTTAGATCGCTAAATTTACCGTTTTGGAAAGCAAGTGTACCATATTTTGAAATGTATGTACCAATACGTAATTCGCTAGAATATTAGCATTTTTTGGTAACATAACTTTTAGTTTCTACATTTTGATTATTAGTTTTTAGTTTGCTAGAAGCTGCACCCAACAGGCCCTAAAATCCACCATTTAACAACTTTCTCAACAAAATCTATCATTTAACGACTTTCTATGTTCAATAAATGAGAATATGTATTTAGTCATGGATCTTTCTTGCTACAGTGCCTGCTTAAACCTATGACTGACTAGAACAATTTATTCTCACAACCTATTTGCAGGTAGTACGCTCGAGGCTACAAGAACAAGGGCAAGGGCAAGGGCAAGGGCAAGGGCAAGGGCACCACTCCGAGAAACAATACTCTGGAGTCATTGACTGCATTAAGAAAATATATCAGCAAGAGGGCATCCGTGGTTTTTATCGTGGGTGTGCCACCAACCTGCTCAGGACTATCCCAGCTACTGTAATTACATTCACCAGCTTTGAGATGATTCATCGGTTTCTTGTCACTTCCTCCTGATCCACAGCCTCAACCATTGTGAAGATGGATCGTGTTCATGATGAAATCAACTATCTAGCGTTGATTAAACCAGCTTGTGAATTAGTGCATCCTTCAACAGGCAAGCATATCAACCCCACTTTATTTTGTTCAGATGCTGACATAATTTTTTGGTTGGATGTATATTTGAGTTGTTATGGGTGGCTTAGTTTTAGCAACATGCAGAAGCAATTGCACCTTATTGAACTTGTGTAATGTCAAGTCTCCGAAGGGAAAGTGGGGATGATTATGTTTTATTGATGATGATAATGATGATAATTGAAGTATAATGCAGACGTTTTAGTTTTCCAAGCAATAATCTCACACTTTTTATTTCCCTTCTTTTTATGGAAAAAAGTTTATTTCATCACTGCAAAATTTGTACATGAGAGAGATAAGAAAAAATAGTAAGAGGAGAGGAACTCCTAACCTAAGACGACCAAAAACCTATGACACTATCAACCAAAGGCAACAACTAACTGCACAATATGGCCCCGTTTGTTTTGGGAGATAGAATGGAGGAGATTGATAGTGAGGGGATTAATAGTGAAGAATTGTTAAATTATTTTTATATAAAATAATAAAACAAATAAAAAAATATATAAAATAAACATTATATTTAAAAAAAAAAATTCAATATATAAAAAATAAAAAAATAATATTTTTTTTAATCCTCTCATTATTTTTCTAATATCATTTTAACAATTCCTCACTACTAATCCCCTCACTATCAATCCCCTCACTACTAATCCCCTCACTATCAATCCCTTCATTAATAATCCCCTCATTATTAATCCCCTCACTATCAATCCCTTCTATTCTATCTCCCAAAACAAATGGGGCCTTCCTATCTCTCAAAACAAACACTTCATTTTCAATCTCCTCCTCACTATCAAACTCAATCTCCTTCTCATAACCCCAAACAAACGGGCCTATAGATATTGTAATAGCCCTGACAAATACCCAACAAGAAAGTGAAAAAAAAAACCCTGGAAATATAACAGAAAAAGTTGGCACACCAAAAATTGTTGCCTTAGATTGGATAATAACACAAACTACCAAAAGCTATTGTTTTTAGCATATTGATCTTTGCAGCCTAAATCCGTCACCATCATGGGCTTCAAAGTGTTTGTGCTAATGGAACTGAAAAAAAAAAAGAAAAAAAAAAAACGCTAACGGACCCTAGAAATCTTTATAGTTTCAGGCCTAGGCCCAGGACCTTTTGCTTATAGCCCAAACTTATTTGTGGTATACCAAAAAACTGTAAGCACAAATAAGAGGAAAAGGGTACACAAGAATTTGGTTTGGTTTGATAAAAAAACACACTTCAACGTTGATTTGTTGTGGGCGACTAACTTTTGTGAGAACCAAAGTTTCTCTAACTTTTTAAGATAAATTCTTGATTTATGAAATTAATTGAGAGGGAGACAGAGAGAGAGAGGGCAATATTCCCTTCCTTTTTTCCCCCTTCACTTTTAACGAGAGAGAGAGAGAGAGAGAGAGAGAAATATTCCCTTCCTTTTTCCCCCTTCACCTTTAACTTTGATTAGCCTTTGGGTTGAGTTGTCAGGACTTAAAAAGACGTAATGGATACACTACACTGTCTAATCACTCAAAATTTTGCTTCTTTATAACATGATAGCCAATGTGGAGTACCATCTTAATCTTGTACTAGTTTAGCAAACCCCTTTATATAAATTGTGAAATTGAGGAATATGATGCCCCTTAATGAGGAGCATACCCTACTCAAAAAGCTTTTAGGACTGGGCCCACTTGATTTTATTAAAAAAAAAAAATCTAATATTTCCATCCCAATTCCAGTTATAATCTACTAATAAAGGATGTTCGTCTCATAATATGTGACAACTCATTAACTCAAGCCAAAAAGTTCTTTTTCTTTGGAAGCTTGGGACAACCTGCAGGGCCAGTCAGTAAATCAAGTAAAGCCTGTCATTACATATTCTAAAAATAAAAATAAAAAAAATAAAAAAAAAAAGAAGTACTAGATAATCCTATTAACTTTGATTAGCCTTTGGGTTGAGTTGTCAGGACTTAAAAAAAGACGTAATGGATACACTACTGTCTAATCACTCAAAATTTTGCTTCTTTATAACATGATAGCCAATGTGGAGTACCATCTTAATCTTGTACTAGTTTAGCAAACCCCTTTATATAAATTGTGAAATTGAGGAATATGATGCCCCTTAATGAGGAGCATACCCTACTCAAAAAGCTTTTAGGACTGGGCCCACTTGATTTTATTAAAAAAAAAAAATCTAATATTTCCATCCCAATTCCAGTTATAATCTACTAATAAAGGATGTTCGTCTCATAATATGTGACAACTCATTAACTCAAGCCAAAAAGTTCTTTTTCTTTGGAAGCTTGGGACAACCTGCAGGGCCAGTCAGTAAATCAAGTAAAGCCTGTCATTACATATTCTA